AAATCTTTCCAATGATTGCTAAGCCAGAATCCATCTTCTCGGTTGAAATTGTCTCTGTGCTTGTATATGTGGATAGCCTCATGAACGAATCTCTCATGGTAGCCAGATGGCTTACAAAGAACCTCTGTCTTGGAAAAGTCAATGTCATGTGAGCCTACTGAATTATAACAATGATCTGCCACGGCCGAGGTGTTGGTCCTACCGTGTTTAAGGTCTGCTTTGTGTTCACGAATGCGGTCCGAGACATGACGTTTGGTTTCTCCAATGTAACTACTACCACAGAGGCAACTTAGTTTGTAGACGCCAGGGTACTGTTTGTCCGGAATCACATCTTTTACAGACGGAAACAGATCACGGATTTTATGTAATGTGTTGAAACGAACCTGGATCTTGTGTTTATTCAAGATTTTGGAGATCTTTTTTGAGATCCCCGCAATGTAGGGTAAAGTGATGGTTTTGAAAGGCTCCTCAAGAGGGTCCTTCTTCATGGTTTGAGTGATAGCTTTGCGGATTGTATAGTCGGAGTAACCATTAGCCTTAAGAGCTTGGTGTACGTGCTTTAGTTCACTGCCTATGTGTTCCTGGTCGGATATGCATTGGGCTCTATGGTACAGAGTCTTGATGAGAGAATTCTTCTGTGATGGATGGTGGTGGGAATCCGGTTTCAGATAAGCATCCGTATGGGTAGCTTTCCTGTAGACAGAGTGGCTCATTGAACCATCAGGTCTCTTTTTAATTAGGAAGGACATCCAAAAAAGGTAGCTTGCCATCTTTTTTGACTTCCATGGTAAATCTGATGGCTGGGTGTATGGAATTGATGTGGTCGAAGAATTGGTCTAGAGCAGGCCGGCCATGTGGCCAGATGACAAAAGTGTCATCCACGTACCTCTTCCATAAGGTTGGGCGCAGAGTGGCAGTCTGGATGGCGTCAGTCTCAAATTTCTCCATGAAAATGTTAGCTATAACCGGAGATAGGGGGGAGTCCATTGGGGTGCCCTCTGTTTGTAGAAAGTTCCATTCCAAGTAAAGTATGTATTGGTTAAACATTGTCTCACCAGGGGGGTACCTCAGTGTTTAGTCCTTGATGAACCAAGTCTTCAATGATAGCGATGGTGTCAGGTACAGGAACCTTGGTGAATAAGGAAACTACATCAAAACTGACAAGCAGGTCGTCTGGGGACAGGGAAATACCCTTGATTGTCGATACCAGGTGAGTAGAATTTTGTACCGCAGAGGTGGTTTTTCCAGTGAAAGGACGCAGGATTTCAGACAAAACACGAGCCAGTTTGTAGGTGGGGGAGTTGATAGTAGAGACGATGGGACGAAGGGGTGTATCTACTTTATGTATTTTTGGTAAGCCGTATAATCTTGGTGGCCTGGCAGCAGAAGGTTTCAACGAAAACTGTTTAGATTGATCAATTAATGCGGTTGAATCAGAAATTATTTTGTTGGTTTGTGTGACGAGGCTGTTGGTGGGATCTCTTTTTATTTTTGTATAACTACCATCGTCGAGTAATTATTTAATTTTGTTGTTGTATTCTATTTTATCCATGATGACAGTAGCATTGCCCTTGTCAGCTGAGAGGACTACAATGTCATCCCTCTTTTTTTATTTATATAGTTCAAAACGCTCATCTTTGCTGAGGTTGCTAGCTGGCATCTTAGCGTTTTTGAGGGTTGCAGCGATTTCAGATCTTGCTACGTCTGCAGCGATGTGACCCAGGCCCCTGAGAGCAACGTCTACATGGGCAATTATATCATTAACTGGTAGGTGTTTAGGTGTGACTGCAAAGTTTAGACCTTTAGCTAAAACGGATTTCAGACTATCGGAAATAGAACTGTTACTGCGATTAATTACGACTTTGTTAACGTCTAACTTTTTGGTGTGTGGGTCCGGTCTTTTGTTGAAGAGGTTAAATTTGGAAATCAGGTTGTCCTTACATTTGGTCGACATAGTAGCAGCTGAAGAGGCAGTCATATTGTCTACATGTTCCCAATCCGATGTGGACATTGTTGCCGTCAATGATAAGTGTGATTTGTAGAGTGTCTTGTCTAACTGATCTAGTTCGGTGCGTATAAGTCTGATTTTTTCTGAGATAAGAGCTAAGCTAGTTTATATCTGTTTCCCTTCAACGTGACTTTACCGAAAGAGCTAAGAATATATATGCATTATTAATGTTTGCATGGTGTACAGTCTGGAAAGTACCCACATGGGAAATTTCAAGTTTGTTACATGTCGGGAAGAATGCTAAACATTTTGAACAGACACACATTCACAACTTTGCCTTTTATATATATTGAGATAACCAACATCATTAACACTCAAAATTGGTGCATCTGCACCGCCGATCACAGCAGCAATATTAATATTTTATATTGCTCTGAAATAGAATCCAAACAATAATCAAGAAAACATCTCCAGATTTTTTTTTGCAAAAATATCAATCACTGAACTTCGTAAAATTTACCTGAAATTAGATATTAAATTCTGTGTCATCATCACTGTGAACTCCGCACCGTAATTTTGATTACTGCAGCAATTGTTCCACCATTGTGTAACATCACCTAAAATAATCTCATATTAACAAGTAACAAAACACTCAACCGATTCGTAAACAACACTTCCTTAAATGGAAAAGTATGTATATAAACTATTACGTATATGTACGTGCTGTGTTGTATGGTGTGCAATCAAGCAAGTGTCTCCTGTGAACTTGTTTTGATCACATCATACTGTATGTATAAAGAAAAATCAGATAACTCGCGGATAAAAATATATATTGCCACGAGACTTATTTTATCTGCTAAAAAAGTCACGAATAATGGATGTCGTATTAAACACAATTCATCTCTGTGCTACAGGTGAGACTTCAAACGAAGTTTAACTTCCACAAATATATAGGAAGCGTTTAGAATAATAAAATATCATCAAAGGCTGCATGTCTTCAGATAACAGAACTCCCAACACATCACAATGGAGTTTCTGGAAAATGCTGGTGCCTTTAGCGAACAGAACTCCCAACACATCGCCACCGGGCTTCTGTAAGCGTTCATGAGTTCCGTGTTTTGCTATCACACTTCTGATATTTAATGCTCAGCACATACTGTGGCATTCGTTCCTGTGGAACAACCTCGTGTGCTCAACCAACAGGCACCAAAAGGCATCCGAATGAAAGACAGAGCTCTCCCAATAGTGGCTATAGTATGAGCTATACACTTACGTAAGTTATCGAGACCTTCAGAAACCGACAAAATATACGAAACACAATTCACCTTAGTGCTAGAGGTTACAAGTTGGCTTCATAATAAAGGTCACTTGTCCGATGGAGTGGTGACATGATCACACTGAAGCCACTCCAAGGAGAAGAAGCCCTGTGGCAATGTCTTAGAGGTGCTGTTAGCTAAAGCCGTGCAGTCTTTTATGGCATTTGGCAATGCTACAAATTTCCTATATGTGAAAGTTGTGAAGTTCATTTTTAAGCCAACTTCTCGCCTGTAAAACTGAGGTTAATTGTGCTTAATATATATTGTATTGGCTTGTGAATGTCTTCATAATGTATGTTAGTAGGCAAAAGTCGTGGATAATAGGCCGAATATGGATCTCGGATAAAAAAAAAAATTGTGGGCCTCACCAGCAATGGATTACATAGCTTGGGAGAATTTTCTCAGGACAAAAAAATATTACATGTGTTAAATACATTAAATTGTTGTATTGTAACATGACACCTTTGGTATTTCCACATTTATGCATTTACTTGCTTAAAGTTACCACGGACAATTTCCATGACGTGAGAAAGCTTCGCAAACAATGAACCGCATGTTGTTCCCCAATGGCTCAATGAGGACAACACGTTCGAATGACAGTTGTGTACCTTGTATGCCATCAGTGGAGTAACATTTGTTTTAAAAGTACACGTACCATGGTGACAGCAGCAGCAGCAGCGAGGTCCCAGAAGGGGGATCGCGACTTGAGTCGCCAGTGGGGGAACGTGCTTGAGCCCTTGGTTGATGGTTGTAGGTGGTTACCGTTGGCAAGAGAAGGTTTAAGCACATTTGCGGTTTGCACTTCTCCGTGGATATTTGGTGGAAGAATGTTCGCCTGGTCAGAGAGCAAGGGGATTGGTGTCGGTCTCAGTGTTCCGATTATGATGCAGTCGCGTTGTTTAATCGTGCATCGGGCAGCTTTGTGTACGACGAGCTCCCGGGCCAGGCTGCAAGCACCATACCCTGCTGAGGCACCCCGAGGTCGTTCCTGAGAGTTTACGTAGCAGGGAGATTCTTGATCTTTTGTAAAGTCCATCAATTTTTTCTTAACAATTTAAATTGTGCCTTTAACACTTGTATGCTCTTTAAACCATACGTGTTTACTTTCCTTATCAGGCCCGGATGCCTTGGTCGGGCATTCGGCCTCCGATTTGAAGACATTCGTCGTGATATGGCATGTAGCAGGGAAGACCGCGAGGAGGTGGTTATCTTCTCGCCCCTCAGCGTCTACTGCCCCCTTGGATTGGTTGGGAAAAACTCAAGTACAAAACATTTCAAAACCGTTAAGTTTCTCTCTCCTCCCATCCAAAAGTAGAAAAAGTAGAATCTAACTTTGTTCTTCTTCATGTTTCTCGATGTAATTTCGAAGCATGCGTTGAATTTAACTGGCACAATGTCGAAGCCCTTTTGCTATGCTAAGTGCTGATAGCTTTAAACATTTCTATGAGAATGTACCTCTGGGCAAGTGTGAGAAACCAGCCGAGTGGAGCGTGCGCTTATCTGAACGACCACGTTGCCCGATTAGCAACGTCAAGCTGCGGGGAACTGGAAAAATGTATCAACCAGCTTGGGTTATATGTATTTTTAAAAAAATGTTTTAAACAAATCCTTATTTCTCTCAGACTGTCGAAGATATAAACATTATAGGTTGTGTAAGTGCACGTTCCTGTTGGTTGCGGAACGAAAACTAACATCTGCCATAGTGTCTGAATCTTGTTGAAACTGGGTCTTGTTGGTGCCACTCGGGGCGTGTCCCTGGAGGGTGACGTTTCCCTCGCTTCATCTCTGTGTGCTCCAGTGCCCGGGTCCATTCACTCTTTCACTTATTGGGCGCCAGTGGAGGAAGTTCACCCAACAGTGTATTCAATTATCCGTGTTCCCGCTTCCGAATGGGAAACCAAAGTGCTTAGGAGCCAATTGGCTTAGGGTTTAACTTGACTTTCACGATTTAAGAAACTGCCAACAAGCATTTTAACAAAGGCCTGAAAAGGCTTGTTGCTCTGTAGTATCCTGGAACCATCAGGGTCCTGCTAGGCAGGCCAATTTTATTTGTGTTAGCCTGGTGTGTAAAGAGTTGAGACTGGAGCAGGACTGTGGATTGTTGAAGAGCGTCGTCTGCCTGCTCCACAACATGGTATTGGGATATTTATAAGAGCAGGTGTGATTGGCAGGTAAGCTATGCGTACTTGATGGTTTTATAGTTGATTTATATTTGAGTAAATATATCATATATATTGTAAAACATACATATACTATATCACTCAAGTTATTTGTTTGTAAATGTAATATTAATTAATTTCCTCAGTATATTCAAAACATATTTGTAAATACCGTGTAATATATTGTTTGTGATATTTTAAATAAACTGTATGTGTACGCGATAATGGGATTCCGCCATGCTATATTGGTCAGCACATTGGACTTGCAGTGCAGAGGTCGCCGGTTCAATCCGACCACCTGGTGCGGCCGTTGAAACAACGGACAAATCGAATCCACCTGCTGCTGTTCACCCAGTGGCGAGATGTTAACTAGCTCACCTGGCATGCAGGAGGTTGAGAGATCGATCCCGACCCTGACGTCTGTATATTTGGAGTTTACAAGTCTCTCTTCCCGTGGTCGTGTATATCATTATCCGGGTCCTCCGGTTTTTCCCTTCACATTTAGAATCAGCGTGCGTTTATCGTATTTGGTTGATATAAATATCCACGTGATAAGCCACTTCGTTGAGCTATCATTTGTGGCCAGGTCGCTTCTGAAAAATAGCTATTTCGCTCAATGGGCCTTACCTGGTAAAATAAAAAATAGTTTAAGAGTAACAATAAACGGACACACCAGAGTAAATTGGTAGATCTCATATTTTGTGTGGTGGGATAAAGTGTGGGTACTCCCACCCCTTCCAAGACATCTGGCTACTGTGTAGAAGTAGACTGATACCCTCCAAGGGGCTCTCTTATACTGCCTCGAGAGGAGGCTTTTCTCCCAGCAGTTGCGTAAGCAAGTAATGACATGGCTGCATCTTTATACTTTCACCCATTCTATTTTGACAGAATGGGCTGCAGTCAAAGTGCAGAGGTAGAGGACTACTCTGCCTCCGATGTGAACAAGTATGTGGTAAGTTTACATTCAGTCGAAATATTGGCTACTGCTGTGTTCAGGACATTGAGCATTAAACAAGGGGTCATTCACTGTGATGTGCTGTCATCCTAAAATCTAAGACTTTATGAAAGCAGAATTGAAATTACCCTGAGTTTAAATATTTCATGACAATTAGGTTTTCAATGGATTTGAATTATCCTAATATTTCCTGTTTTTAAATGTTGTTATGTTTTTATTCACCTAGCATACCAACATCCTTCATTAGATGTGACTCAAACGCATCTTTCTCTGAAAGCCAATGATAGCTGTGCTCTTGATATTGTAATGATTAAAGAAAGAAAATAATATATTTTTGACACTTACAAGCAAATTTTGCATGGGGGAGTTTTGAAATCTTCAGGAGAGCTCTTATTTCGCAGTGATGTTGAGTACAAAGACCGTGGACCCAAATATCTGCGGGGTTATCCAAGGTGGCGAGATGTTAACTATCTTGCCTGGTATACAGGAGGTCGTCGGTTTGATCCCAACCTGACACTTGCATATTTGGAGTTTGCGTGTCTCTCTCCCCATGGTCGATTGGATTTTTCTTCGGGTCCTCCGATTTTTTCCTCCACATTTAGAAACATGAGTTCAAAATATTTGGCTGCTTTTCATTTCCGCATAATAAGCCACTTCGTTGGGCCTTACCTGGTAAAAATATATATATAGTTTAGTTTAATTTAACCCACTTATCCTTGAAAAAATTCGTGGAAATCATGAATAATGAGTCTTTCCAGACACTCTTATAGATAATTCTAGTCACACGTAATATTGTCATGAATAAGAGGAGTTACCCTATATTCAAAACGAGTTTGTAATAATGAAATTATTTTTAATTCCCATCTCTATGGCATCCGCTACGTTTTGTTTTTAAGGACATGCACTTGCAGAGGCTGTCCTCGGCTCTCCAGCAACAGAACAGCACTGCGGAGGCCAAACCAGTCGGTAAAGACATTTTCATTTTACCATACGTTCCAGGTTTAAGTTGTATCAATATCCATAAAGTCTTCTTAATGTCCATGCACTCGGGTGTACTGTTCAAATGAACACTATCGTCAAAACCAATATTTTTCACGCGAATGTGTACTGGCTCAAGGTCCTCTCTTCCTTGAGGTTTCAGAAATAAGAACCCCAACAATAACAACGACAATAATGGTGCCATCGTATGGAAAATTAACCAATGTTTCAGTATGATGTAAAGTTTTGATATCCAGTCAAGAGCTTTGGGAGATGCGGAGTGAATTTCAGAGATGTTTCTGAGACATCAGTACAGTCGACAGTTGCTGACTAAATGTTCCAGTTGTAAAATAATTGTCAATTTCATGTTGGCAACATGTTTCATAATGTCCACTCTGTGCTTAAAAAAACCCAGGTTGGAAGGCTCGGGGTTTCCCAATAGATGTAATTTACATTGTACTCTATGAGACGAGATCGTAAAACGATAACTTAAATCGTCGAATTCCATGGCGAATACAATGGTAAAATATGTTTAAAACTGTATTTTCTACGTAAAAGAAAGCAACATGTGACCAAAATCAGTATCTAATCGCCGTTGCAAATCTATCCCATGAATCTGTATCAGATCCGAACAGGTGGGCAACCTTTCCTCTTGCTACGTGTAATCGTTTTCCAGATTGATAACAAGTAACTATATAAATATGTAAAAACACACATTAGAGTTTAGCTTAAATTTTGTAATTTCAATTAGTTAAAATACTTTGCCACTCTCATTCCAGTGTTTACAACATTCAATGCACTTTGCCTTTTTGGAAGCCCCTTGCATTGTAATTTACCAGTAGTAGTGTGGAACAATCAGTGTGGACCAATCAGTTTCAAAGACAATGCATATATTATCAGGGTATGTTTTTTGTTGGCATTCTGACCACAAGTATTGTGGTTAACGAGACATGATGCCTCGTAAAAGGTTTCAATTTCGTGTTTTAACATCTTAACACCTGTTTTGTTGTCAGAAAAAAATGGGAAACCTATTCTCAGCAGTAGTGTTGTTACTTGTTAACATTGCTACCGGATGTAGAATGTGCCTTGTCTCGTGATGTGCAAGCAATAGAAGCTCAAACATGGCCATAGCTGGCTGTAACCATATAAAGTCCTATCGAGTGCTTTGCAGTCCTGCGTGGTGCTGTGGCTCACAGTGAGAAGTGTTGCCACGTAAACTCTTGAGGGGGTGATCGACTCCGTCCTTCATCACTGTACCACAATGTGGAAAGTCAGCCGTTGTGGTCCCCTGGTCAAATACAATGTGTAATTTCCACCATTATCTCATGACTGTAGACAGAAAATGAGCACAACCCCATAATTATCTTATAATAATTAGTCCTCACGCGCTGGTGCCTGCAATTGTTTGGGGAATACAATGAGTATCTTAACCGTATGCAGTACGTTATCGGTAGGGCATCAGTGGAGTTGTGATTCTATGCCCAAACATTTAGTCTTTTGCTCCTCATCTAACCCAAAAACATTTATTATAAATAATATTGGTCGCGAAAGGCTACTTGTTCAACTCCTTTGCTCCTGACCTACTGTAAGCATACTGTACTGCTCTAACCATCCTCTCGTTTTCAGATGTGGATGGGCTGCTGGTGGTCGCCTTGTATGACTACGACCCAATCCATGCTGATGATCTGTGCTTCAGGAGGGGTGACCAGTTGGTCATCGTTGAAGAGTAAGTTGCTTTGCATGTCATGATGATGTTTCGGGTGTTGACAAACCAAACACGTAAATGTGTGTTTCCGTGAAGAAATGTCTTACAAGGATACAGTAATTATTGAAGTCTTCATAGTTTTCCGTGGTTAAAATTAACCACGTGAGAGATACAGTATTGCTTCAGAGACTGACTCTGTTGAATAGAGTGGTGGCGCAGTGGTTAGTGCACTGTGCCAGCTTAAACTTAGAAAACTAATCCCGAATCTCAGCCACAGCTGACATCAGTCATGAGTGATACCTGAACTGGCTCTGGGTTCTCCCTTCACCGACCCGCACAGACCAAAGTGGTGAAGTATAGTCAAACAACCATCATGACTCAAACTGCATGTGGAGGCCTTCACCCAGCAGTGGCTTGACAAAGGATTGAATATTATTATGAATCAATCCACAGCCAATATATAAAAAGTAATAGAAAATCAAACATTGAGTAATTAATTTTGCTTATGTATATCCCCCCCCCCCCTTCGTTGAATGTGTAACAGGGGCAATGACTGGTGGAAAGCCAGGTCAGTGGCGACAAAGAAGGAGGGATACATCCCCAGCAATTTTGTGGCCAAAGTGAACTCCATTGAAAAGGAAGAGTATGTAACAGATCGTTTTATGTTGTGTAAGCACGTATGAAAAATTGCTCACGTTACCTCTGCTTTATGTTGACCGAGCTATCTTCAAGAGTGTTACATATTTTTGCCACGTGTGTTATTCTTTGGGCGTGTGTTTTATTCACATGTCACTGAAGTGTTCCCGTCAAAGTGTCTTCATGATTCCTTCACCTATGATGAGGAATTGGTGTCCCACACTTGAATATTGAATCTCACCCACACTGTATTCAGTCACCACACTGCGAGTCAAAACTCACCTCCCTTACTGCTACCTCTTTCGCACTGCTCGACTTGGGAAGTCTATTCCATAGTCTCCTTACTTAAGCCCTTCTCACCTCGCTCAATTCAAGAAACATCGCACCTCGTATTAGCACGGTTGGCTATGTACGGTGCGAAAGAAGGCTATGTGCACTTTAAGGCCACGTGAAGTGTCGAACGCCCGCTTGCAGGAGGTCACGGAGCAGACCCAGGTGCCATGGGTTGGCTGACTGAAATAACTGGCCGATGGACCACCTGAGCACCCTACTGTACCAACAACGTAGATACATACGAACATGTTCGCTGTTATCTATTTCAACTTTGATAGTGCTGTTTGTTGCTGGTCGCTTTATGTTTTGGGCCTCGTGGGCCCGTGCTCAGCAAGTGTGCTTGAAAATAATGATGACGACTGCATTATTTGTGCTTTTTTTGTGCAGGTGGTTTTTTAAGGGATTAAGTCGGAAGGATGCAGAGCGGCAGCTGCTGCTTTGTGGAAACAAGATTGGTTCTTATTTAATTCGGGACAGCGAGACCAACAAGGGTGGGTCACTTGAATTTAAGTACCGGAGAACGTCCTCACACACCCCACTCACTGGGGGCTGAGATACCGGGAGATATGTTTTAAAAAGTCCGATATGTGAACACATATATAAAACGTCAGTTATACCATCGCGCACAAATAGGTCACCGGATTCAAATGAAGCTTTAAACTTGTGTTTGACTGGGCTTTAGAAGTGAATGCATGCAAGATTAAGAATACGTAACTGTGTGTGAAATGGTCAGATTTGTGAACATCTATAGAAAATTACATTTACACCACGTGTATATACTGTACTGGACTGGGTGTGGGTGGTTAATTGATAAGGGTGGATGTGTGATAGTCGGATATGCGATGTCCTGTCTTCACCCAGAATGGTGTTAAATCACACAAGCCTGTAAATGAACAAACATAACCTATGGATGAACGACCAAACTCTAGTTTGTGTTTATCGATACACCGTCCTTGCAGGTTCCTATTCCCTGTCCGTGCGAGACCACATCGTGGAAGTGGGTGACACTGTCAAGCATTACAAGATCCGGACACTCGACAAAGGAGGCTACTTCATCACATCTCGCATCACCTTCCACACTCTCCAAGAGCTGGTCGTCTACTACCACCGTAAGCCCTTTGTCTTCAGTCTTTGAGAGTTCATTTCCAGTCGTTGACGATAGATGGACAAAATTTTAGCGACAGTTTTGACTCCGAGAGAATGCAAATAAGCGGAGCAAGATACAGTATAGCAGAGGAGATGGCGAGATTAATCATAGAGGTTTAGAGGCCACCACCGATCAAGAACTAAGAAAAGGAAGGAATGGAAGAAAATAAGGGAGTCCTTTGCCTAGTAAAGGGAAGTTACAGGCTAACAAAAACAACGACCATAAAATAGGCCAATTTTACTTAATTTTGTGGTCAAATGAAAAATGTCTCAAACAGAAAAATATACATCGAGTGAAAAAACATACACAGTTCCTTGAGGAATTGAGCAGTTAAATCAGCTCATGTGTACGGTGCATTCAAATTATATGGCATTCTTTATTGTCAACTTGTGCTGTTTGACAACGCTAGTTGTGGAAGGCAGCAAGTTGGATAAGAATGTACAAATACGTGTGTGTGTGCTCGCTAACAGCACTTGCCCCTACAATATGTTAAGTCTATACGGGGGATCTTTGTCTTTTGTAGAGCAAGCTGACGGGTTGTGCCAGAAACTCGGCAAGCCCTGCATTGCGATTCAGCCACAAAAGCCGTGGGAGAAGGACGCATGGGAAATTCCACGAGAATCGATCAAGCTGGAGAAGAAGCTGGGAGCTGGCCAATTTGGGGACGTGTGGATGGGTGAGTACACACACACACCTGACAATGTCCAGTTTGTAAGCAGATATGAAACATGTGTGTTCTACTGAAAACTGCGTCCCATATGCTCACCAACCGATCGCCCTATCAGTATATATTGTGGACACTGTTGCTATGCAGAAATGCAACACGTCTGCATTGCAACGTCGTGAAACACAGCTGACCAATACCCGCGTCGACTGTGAACAATACAACACGTTGCGTGCCATTCAGCTCGACTCCATCACGGGAAGGCAACAGAAGTCATAATCGGTTAAAAAGTACCCTTACACTACACGGAGCTGTGAATTAGCTGCTGCGAGGGGTTGGGACCCCCGGTTTAGAACAGGAAACTCGGCTCAGTGTTTCCATGGAGATGTTACATTGCGGCATTTTGTTTAAATCAATCTGATAACTTGTTCTGGGAAACACGCAGAGATGCAAAAACCACGTTGAAAAATAGTTCACATTTCACCCCCCCCCAAAACATTTACGAATGCATCTTGCACGCAGAGGATGCATTGTATTAAGTCAATCACACTGCCTTAAAGGAAAATAAATAATACAGCATACGTAGATCATGCGCTATGGAGAAGGGCCATTGTCCAAAACCTCACCAATTCTAAATGTTTCCTATTAGGACCACATTGTTACTCACAAACGGTTGACTGTTTTTTCCCCCTCTGCACCACAGCGCAAAATCACCAAATAACCAGCTGTCTTAAGTGGCGATATATGTCATGTCCTTATCCATTCACAAAACACGTGTCACGTGGACTTCTATACAAGAAGAAGCTCGACTGCCCGGTCTAATTTAGCTTATAGAATAATGGAGATCTATATGTAGGGTACATTTTATAACAGTGGCATATCTACAATTGGCCTGCGCTAACTCAGATGGTCTGTGCCCAAATGGGTGGCGTTATCAGCTCCAGTGCACGTTGGGCAGTGCAGTGGTAAAGGAATGGCGGGCACAGTCAGCGGACATTTGTTACCTCTGTGCTTATGACCATGCACTCTATTTGCCTTCGCTATGAGACTCCGCGTCAAGTCAAACCGATAACAGATTTCCTGTCAGTGGACGTGCCTCTAAATAACGACTTGTCTGCATGCACTTCGCTTATTCCTTTGCCAATTCTAATTAGGATAACTATTGATTCTGAGTGTAAGTGGGCATAATGTATAATAACCCCATGTGTAGCCATGCGTTGCAGTGTTGTTTATTGGTGTGAACATTGCATGGCGGTACAATGTGCAGGCATATTCACCGTGATGCTTGAGAAGCCGATGCACTGTACAGGTATATAGAATGTTATTGTAAATACGCAGGCACATAATGGTTTACTCTACCTTACATTCATTGAATTGCCATGATTTGGTATCATGATTCAATTACATAATCTATTCATTGTGTCTCTTATGTGCTGACCCATTTATACTGTCACTCATTCCTAAGTGTTGTCTCTTTTGCTGCATTACTCAAAAGGGAACAATTTAATAGAGTTTGCATGAATTATAAACAATTTCTTACACAAACGCATTGTAAAATGCATAGATCTCACACATAACTGATTCATGGTTACAGGACTACGGCATCATATACTTTGTGTGCAGCAGACGTGTGTCGTGTACAGCAAGCGCATACGTCGTGAGCGCAAAGCAACAACGGCCACTCGTGGACACGTGTGTAACATATAACAACCCCCGCGTACAGGGGTGTACAACAAGAAGACCAAGGTGGCAGTGAAGATGATGAAGCCAGGCAGCATGGCCCCACAGGCCTTCCTGGAGGAGGCCAACCTCATGAAGACACTGCAGCATGACAAGCTGGTACGGCTGCACGCCGTGGTGACAGACGAGCCCATCTTCATTGTCACCGAGTACATGGAGAAGGGTACGTGTCGCCCTGCATGTTGTCCTTCCCCCGGCACCTCCGATTAGCACGGTTGGCTACGTACGGTGCGAAAGAAGTTCAACATAGACACGTACGTACGGCACGCGACCATTTGAGTGTAAAAAAAGATATAAAAGCCAAAGGTGCAGCTCTGAAGATTACTTGCTCACAAAACTGCTGGCGGAGGGTCCTCCACAAAAAGGAGCTCCTGTGGAGGGTGTTTCGGCCTACTCTTCCATGCCGTCCAGACGCCTTAGAAGGTCGAGGAGCACCCACACTTTATCCCACCGCATGCGACCTGCCGCCGGTCGACTGACGGCGATGCACCCAATTGGACTGCTGGGCAGACAGAGGCGGTGGGGGAGATGTTCAGAAACTTGCACCGCTGTTTCAGCTGCTCCGTTACAACCACGGCAGCTTCCCCACTGGAGTGGAGTGATGTAGCATTTGCAAGTGCCTTTTGAATACGATTTTATTCTTCACAACCAGGTAAGTATATGATGGCTAAATGCTGAAAGTGGTCATTCTTTGTCATGATGATTTAGTGCCCATTGCTTCCTACCATCGCCTGACATTTTTTTCTAAGTTATTTGCTCACTGGATTAGAGTGTGAGTAGACACATAGGAGCTGAGCTTGAAGTGAAACATTGGAATGTAAACCCTACTCTGGAGTATATGCTGATTTTGTGTTACGGGAATGGATTGCACATCGTGGTCAGAGACACAAGATGTACTTTGGTAAAAATGCAACAATAACGTGACGCTAAAAATGCTGAATTGATTTTATGCATTCAAAATGTATTGCGTCAGCTTGTTCTTTTCCGTAATTAAGGTTGGGCTTCATACGGATCCTGTATTTGTTTCGTGAAGTTCCCATTACAAGGCAACGCGCGTGTATCACGAGGGCACTTTTTTACAATGCGTTTTGGAGAAATGGAAATATGCTGATATAAATGATCTCCACAAAGAAGCTATCATGTCTTATGATTGCGATCCCACACTTCGTGAACCACTTGATTTCATGATGCCCAAATGTTGAAAGGTGGTCATTATTTATCATCCAAATCGAGTCCCATTGATTTCCACAATAACCCATGACATTCAACTTTGCAGTGTTCATAATAGTGTGTTATTTAACACTGACTGGTGTAGCTATGAAGTACAACCTTTGGTGGATTTGCTAGAAATGCAGTTTTCACTTTTTCTGAAGGTATTCATTATCATTGCAATGATGAATTGCAACTTGAGAGCCTTCACTGAAATGATCAAAGTGCCTCCCATCCCTTTCTAGTGGGCCTGCTCAGTTCTCTTCGGAGCTCTAATTTAAACATTTGGCGAACGCGAACATTCAAATTACTTTTTCCAACGTGAATCGAGCTTCAAAGTGTAATTTAGTTATTCAGATGTTCCTGTTGACATCTGCTTTAAAAAAAAACACACATTCTCGCAGTTCTTCGATGCATGCTTGTTAATACCTCTTGCTCACGAGGCTTCTGTCACCTTTGCGGAACCCAGGAAGCCTGCTGGACTTTTTGAAAACTTCAGAAGGAAGCCGTCTAAAGCAACCAAAGATGATTGATATGTGTGCGCAGGTAATGCTCCCTCTCACTGCACAATAAGGTGTAGCTTGCACTTGTCGGGGTATATTACTGCAGTAACATTTCACAGGCTTTAATGGTTGTGCCATAGGGTTCTCTGGTCGTGCCGCGTGATGTTCGGCACGATGTCCGACGTTTTGCTCCACGTGCTTGGTGCTTCCATTCCTGAACAATATGCATATACTATAGGTGGTTAAGCGATGTGTTGGATAAGGTCAGAACCTTGGTGGTGAAGACATTAATCTTAGTGCCATGCTGCATCACGTCTCCCATGCAGGTAGCAGAAGGAATGGCTTTCATCGAAGATAAAAACTACATCCATCGAGATTTGCGAGCTGCCAACATTCTTGTCAACGTGAACTTGGTTTGCAAGATCGCAGATTTCGGATTGGCCAGGATTATAGAGGACAATGAATACACCGCACGGGAAGGTACGGCACATTTGTACGTGCGCCTTCTTGCAGAACACACGGCAATCAACAATAACTACCACATTTATTTATTTTTCATGCAAATTATAGGCACTCCGTAATAATAAAGCTGCGTGCTGATAATGGACGGTCGATGCAGGGGTCTTCTTCTTCAGCAGCAAAACATAATAGGAATCGCAGCACGGTCTGCACTTGAAAGATGCCATCAACGTGATTGCACACACGTGCACCCAGCCTAGCGACAGGCACCATCTCAAAAGAGCTGAGAGGCTGTTTTTTTTTTCATTTAGACGTCACAGGTGTATATACTCTTTCATTCTTATTGAGACACATCAGTACAATGTGGTCATCATTGCCTAATGCTGCTATCTATGCTTGGGGGCTTATGTTGAGTAGCTTTCTTCATACACTGGGGGCAAATTTGGCACAGCCTAAGGGCGCCAATAAAATCATATTCAAGTGCTCCTCTATGCAGCTGCGGAAGCGATTCAGCAGCCAGGAACTGCTGCCTGCTGTGTAAGGAATCGTAAGTACAATAAAAACAAAATTAGCAATAATATGAATTAAGTAATAAAAATACATAATTTAACACGCAAATGGCATGATGAATAAAATTCTTGTAATTTTACTTTTCTAATTATACTTCTCATCTCTTATATTGCTCGTTGCGAGCGGACCATTAATCGGTGGTCGTTGTCGTAAAGCCGCCCCCCCCTCCACTCCTCCACCCCCCTCCACCCCCTCCACTCCTCCACCCCCCCCACTCCTCCACCCCCTCCACTTCACCCCCTCCACTCCTCCACCCCCCTCCACTCCTCCACCCCGCCCCCCCCCACTCCTCCACCCCCCTCCACTCCTCCACCCCCCTCCACTCCTCAACCTCCTCCACTCCTCCACCCCCCCCCCACTCCTCCACCTCCTCCACTCCTCCACCCCCCTCCACTCCTCCACCCCCCTCCACTCCTCCACCCCCCTCCACTCCTACACCCCCCCCCCACTCCTCCACCTCCTCCACTCCTCCACCACCCCCCCCCCCCCCCCACTCCTCCACTCCACCCGCCCCCACTCCTCCACCTCCTCCACTCCTCCACCCCCCCCACTCCTCCACCTCCTCCACTCCACCCCCCCCACTCCTCCACCTCCTCCACCCCCTCCACCCCCCTCCACTCCTACACCCCCCTACACCCCCCTCCACTCCTCCACCCCCCCACTCCTCCACCTCCTCTACTCCTCCACCCCCCCACTCCTCCACCCCCTGCACTCCTCCACCCCCTCCACTCCTCCACTCCTCCACCCCCTCCACCCCCCTCCACTCCTACACCCCCCTCCACTCCTCCACCCCCCTGCACTCCTCCACCCCCTCCACTCCTCCACCCCCATCCACTCCTCCACTCCTACACCCCCCTTCACCCCCTCTACCCCCTCCACTCCTCCACTTCTCCACCTCCTCCACTCCTCCACCCACCTCCACTCCTACACCCCCCTACACCCCCCTCCACTCCTCCACCCCCCCACTCCTCCACCTCCTCTACTCCTCCACCCCCCCACTCCTCCACCCCCTGCACTCCTCCACCCCCTCCACTCCTCCACTCCTCCACCCCCTCCACTCCTCCACCCCCCTCCACTCCTACACCCCCCTCCACTCCTCAACCCCCTCCACTCCTCCATCCCCTCCACTCCTCCACCCCCCTCCACTCCTCCACTCCTCCACCCCCCTCCACTCCTCCACTCCTCCACCCCCGCCACAGAGGTGGGGCCTGAAGTGAAATCCCAAATTAGCGACCTCCAGTAAAAACAGCCCCCCTAAAAAAACAACCCACCGTAAATCCACGATTGTTTAAACATTACAGATTTAGAATAAAAGAAAACCGCAATTCTGCATATAGAGGAGTGCTTCAACCATGAACTTCCCTGTTAAATTAAGGAAATTAAACAAAGCATCAAATATGTGCAGCAGGCAGCAAAATATATTACGTTGCAGATGCAGCCACAAGCAAACTAATGAAGTTGCATTTGAAATGCTATTGCAGTTTAACTAAAAAAATAGTCGGCTCATGCTGCGTAGACAATAATAATGTTAAAGCAACGTGAGTGCATTTTCAATGAAAGTGCGCATTAAATTCCCGTTATGTCAGCAGCTCAGTATCCTAAGTTGTACATTGCCAGTGTGCAGTGAGTCTCCATCGAGTGTGCAGTAAGATAAGGCACACATAGCGCTGCACGCGAGCCGCTTGCCTGTACTACGGCCTCAAATAGAGGGCCTAAGAGTTGTAAACGTGAGCGAATGACGTTATTTAGCACCAAACTGTGGTCATCACACAGGAGCCAAGTTTCCCATCAAGTGGACAGCACCTGAGGCTATAAACTACGGTTCCTTTTCCATCAAGTCCGATGTCTGGTCCTTTGGAATCTTGCTTACGGAAATGGTCACCTTTGGACGGATCCCCTACCCAGGTAATACCGAAGGCCAGGATTTCAATTTCTGACTGAATATTATTTTCAAAGTACAAAGTATACTGGATGTGGTGTGCCATGTGCGGAAATATTTACTAGGTCGTCGACCCAGGCAAAACCCATCTAAAATTAAGCCCTACAGAAGCCTGTTATTTCTCAAATGTATGAATATGTATGGTATGTTGTGCATAGTGCAAATAGCTTTTTAAACCCAAAAAAAACACCCCTGTAAGACATCGATTTACGATGTTCAACCTTAGTTTGTAGTTTTTTTCAACATTATGCTAGCATTTTAAAGTTTACTAATCTCATTTGAATGTAAGGCATTACACATTGCTGGTGACTGACTCAAATGGAAACCTGCACCAGATTTATAGACTTGGCAATATGGTAACATCCCATTTTTAAAACTTTCCGACGAACCTTACAAGCGTTCCTACATTAGGTATGTGTTTCCATCAGTCTAACAGGAGCACAGGGTCTGGGAGAGGAGGCATAGTAACTCCTGTGTTGTTACTCCGAAATGAATCCAGGAAGCCAGTGAAATTGTTAAAGGCTTACCCGTGTCCTCACGCGGCAGAGAAGCTATGTCATCTCATCGCAACCGGCAGCTATACCGCTACCTGTACACCTGGCATAAGCACGACGATAATTATCGCAAATCCGACACGATAATTTGTGCGTTATGTAGAATCTTTCTTGTTTTTAAAATATTTCTATTGTTCACTCCTCGGAAGGCATGACCAACCCGGAGGTGATCCGCAGCCTGGAGCGAGGCTACCGCATGCCCAAACCGGACAACTGCCCGTGCGAGCTCTACAGCATCATGCAGGAGTGCTGGCGTCAGAAGCCAGAGGAGCGACCCACCTTCGAATACCTTCAAAGCCTCCTGGAGGATTTCTACACGGCCACTGAGCTGCAGTACCAGCCACAGCTCTGACCGACGGGATATTTCTACGCGAGGGACTGTGGCCAGTAGCAAAAAAAAAACAGGCGTCAAAATCCTCGTTATATTCAAACTGGTTTCAATACGGCTTCGGGAATTTTGTAGTTAAGTTGGTTGGTACCACTGACCCCTGATGCGTATGTTTAATTCTTCTATGGTTTTTTTCTGTCGTGTCAGGTAATGTTTGCGTGGGGAAAAGTCCAGATGCTAAAGTCGTATAGTGCCCGTCTAAGACCGGTTTCATGTTTTATGACTATGGTTTCCATGAACAGAAGAAGCTTAAAAGTTTTTTTTTATATGAACATTTGTAATATATATTTTTCAAAGTTATATGTCACCTTGCTTGCATGGCCAGAGATTAGATGACAAGCTTCGCGCAGTGTTTTTAAAATAACTTTCCAGAATTTTTAGATAATTAAATGTATATTTCATACATTCTTCACAAAACAGTTGTTTTGATCGATAATATTAACTTGCTACGAAGTAATATTTGGAGGCGAGTCAAAACTTGTTTATTTTACTGTTGTGTAATACAGTACTGTTCTTTTGTTTTTCAAATTATTGAGACCCACCTTGATTGAGTGTGAATTTATCCTAGGAGGTTTGTTTTGTACATATTGGTAAGGGTCCTGTGTTGTTGTGTGCCTTCATTTTATGATCTGTACATAAAGCAGTTTCAAAGATTCTCACACGTGTTAAATTGCGTTTATTTTATTGAGATGTTGATAAGGGACAAGATGAAGAGTAAATAATGTGTGTTGTAACTTATGAGCAGTGTGGCACAGGAAACCTTAAGGTATTTCGCTGGTAAAACAATGTTGTGGCCACTTAATGGGTTAGCGACTGGACACAAATGTGTACCTTTATGCGTTGGAGCCAAAGTGTTCGAAATCATAGAGAAGCCAGTGCCAAACAAAATCATTAACTCATTACCCAAAAAAATGAAAGTGCGACTCAACAGGATTATTACATTATTGTTCTGTTGTTGAAACATGGTCGTATTGATTGAAAACAAAGGTTATCCTCTGAGGCTCCCACAACAAACAATCTAAATCTGAAATTACAAAGTGTTAAACCATGCAGCTTATCACAATCAAATCCCTTCCACACAAGATTTCTTAAAAACATATAATTCTGTAGGTTGTGCTGTATAGCTCTGTGCTGTGTTCTCTGGTGGTACCGCGCGCTGTTCAGCGCGGTGTCCAACGTTCCGCTCTACGTGCTAGCAGCTTCATCAGGAAGCTTTTAAGTTTTTCTTTGGTCAAAATCTCTCGACAGCTTCATGTAGAGCAAGATGATGCCCTTCAGTTCCTGAGGAAGCTCCGAGCGTGTGGAGCAGAACGTTGAACTTCACACCGAACAACTCAATTACACATCACAGAGCTTTATTAAAACATTCCACCGTCGAGCAACACCCAATTTAGATCCCCTCCGCCCCCCGCGGTGCGTAACGTCAACGTCTACTTGGCCTTTGTCGTCTTCTTCGCCGCCTCGTCCTTGCCGGCGTGCTTGTCGTGAACTCCTTCGGCCGCGCCCTCCTCCTCCTCCTCTTCACCCTCCTGCGGTTTGAAGACGCTGACGGTGAAGTCGCCCGTCTCCGTGCCGTACTTGTTGCGCACGACGATGCTGTAGCGCCCCGAGTCGCTCGTGGTCACGCCGTTGACCGTGAAGCTGGCGAACTTGCCCGCCTCGAACTTGAGCACCAGGTGGTTGTCCGAGTCGACGGGGTGCTCGTTCCGCAGCCAGCTCACCTCGGGCGCCGGGTCGCCCGACACGTTGCACGTCAGGTTCAGCGTCTGTGGAGGAGCACGTGGATCAGAGAAAATGCAAATCCGATGCGTCGTATTGACTCGTGGAAATCAAGTTGGCCGTGGGCAGGGCACATCGTTGCTAGAAGGGCCTGTGGCCCACAGGTGAGCCTGGTCATGGAATGGAGAGCCAGAGGACGGAACGCGCCGTAAGGGAAGACCACCTTGGGGATGGTTCGACGAGTTCAGTTCACGTGCCGGAGAGAGATGGGTTGTGGCATGACAGGAACGTGAGAGATGGCATCGGTATATGGAGGGATTCATCCAGCAGTGGACAGATCAGCACTATTGATAATTACGCTGATTACGTATTTAACGTCGGCCCCATCCATCATGATTGCAAGTTATGCATTGTGTTATCTACTACTAGGCAGTTACCATTCATCATAAATACAAAATATTGTAAAATCGCATTGAATGTACACCACGAGGCATTACTGAATATGTTCACAGCAAATCAAACTCATGTGCCGCTTTGCTACACGTATGTTGGCGTGAGTGGGTGTTGTGCTAATGGTTGTAAACCTTTGTCGGCAATAGCTGTGCATGTTCTACCTTTCCTTGCTGCACTGTGACCACATCTGGCAGGCCTCCCACCACCCTTGCACGATCTGTGATGGGCAGAAGTGCCACGGTTAATTATAGCACTTCACTTGATTCACGACCTCGCAATTCAAAACGCTTGTCCGTTTAAAGTGGTAGAAAGAATGTACAGCAAACGCTTACTCTTTTCTGCAATGGCTGCTTGCCTGTAAAAGTAACAACATAATTAGTACAAAAATAAAATAAAACATTGTTTTCACAAAAGTGATTTCAAAAAGCCACCACATTTTAACCAATATTGAAATCATGGTAAAATAAGTAGAAATAGTTATTGTAAAAATGTTATCCTAAGCGGTCACTTACTTCAGTCTCTGGAATTCGGCATATGCATCATCAAATGCTGAAAGATAGAACATTTGACTGTTAACATCATGTACAAATGCAACACTCTACTTTAAATTCAATATACCGCAGTCACCTCTGTTGTGAGGTCTATGGTTACAAATGGTTCAACGTACTACTCGCATGCCTAATGTTACATCAGTACGGAACGTGTTTGTTCTATCCACGTCATGTATTTCCCAACATCCGGGTGCCCAGTGAATTATTCTGGTCCAGGAGCATTCCCTCTCTAAACACAGTCGAGCGCCACGTGACAATGGCAGCAGCATTCGTGTTTTTGTGTTTAGTTCTGTTATCCTTCCTCCGCACCTCCAATTAGCATGGTTGGCTACGTATGGTGCGAAAGAAGTTCAACATACGTACATACGGCACGAGTTACCACCGCGTTTGCCGCAATGCCTCGGGTTTCTCATCGTTTACGGAGAGCGTTGAACCGCTTTCCGATGGCACTGCCCCCGCGTGCCCAGCATTCGTCACCTTGGCCGGACAGGTCGAGCGCCCTTCTGTGCGTTTCCTGGCCATCGAAGAGCTCCACCGTGTACTTCCCCTTGTCCTTCTCGGCCGGCTCGTTGATGTGCAGCCACAGCTGGTCGATCATCACGCCGCTGCGCACGCGGTCTGTGGAGGCCAACTTGGTGTCCCTGTGGGTGGGCAGGGCAGAGCGGCCGCTCTGTTGCCGGACGCGGCATCGGTTGTCTCCAGCGATGGATCCAGAGGTTTGCGCGTGGGGGTAATGTGTGTATGTTGAACTTCTTTCGCGCCATACGTAGCCGATCGTGCTCATCGGAGGTGCGGGGAAAACGGTCTATCCGGAGGTACCTGCCATTCGTGTTAACACTTTTAAAATAATGTTGAAATCGCTGCTGCATAATCTCTGTCCATCTCTCTGTCTGTGTACCGTCTGCCTGTCTGTAGCGGAGGTGGGGGGGAGTCACGATACATCTCGTGGAAAGGAGCCAATATAGATGAAATTTGCAGGTAAATTTGTGGTGCTGTTAGGGGTGTAACCCCCCGCGAAAATTGGACAGATTAATCGAACAGTTATCCAGAATTTGGCAAATAAAAAAACTGCGATAATAGAAAAGCCATTTTTGGCCAAGGTCAATGATGTAACGCGCCACATGCACACGTTTCGCCTCCTCTCCCGGCGATGTTCCGTGTGATGCCGCTGGACGACCTCTTTACGTCTGCGACATCTCTGTGTGACGTCACACGATGTGCCGAACGATGTCGCCTCTTCACGCGGCTCAAAAGGGGACCTCGCCAATTCAACAACTTTCTTAGAAGACCAAACGTACGCTGGAAAGCGTTGCAGGATACACGAGCGTGCATGATATCTCCGCCTCGTTATTCTCTCAAAAGTAGTCCTCACTTTTACAAGGTAAATGTATTATGCACTGCCGCTATGCAGCCCGTGTTCTAAGCAGCTGTGCATGGTTAACGTTTGTTAGAATGTGGCCAACCCCACAGCAGCCACAGTACATACCACTCTACCCTGCAGCACATATGCTAATCTATATCAGCAGATCTGCCACTAAATGTAAGTATATATACTAAGAGAGTGTGTGTGTGTGAGTGTTACTGTATACGTTATACATATACACGTTTGATTGATTGATGATCCAACACTCACTGATTAACTCCAGCCACGTACGCGGTCAGTTGACTGATCGCTCTTCCGTCACTGCTACTGCCACGGTTACTGTTCCCATGAACTTCACTCCTTGATTCCTCCTCCTGCCGTGTTGAAGACTTCACCTATCAAACTATGTTGTTTAATCCACTCTGTCTGTGTTCAACCTTCACACTGCAGCTCACTTCACTTTGGGCTTCTTTTATTGCACCCCTCCACTGTAAACTGTCCTCCCGTTGTCTATTTTCTAACCTTATGATAGCCGTCTTAAATTTAAGGAAACGTACAAACTCATCTATTATGCCTGCAAGAGTGCCGTTTGTTGCTGACCACTTGGTGTTTTGGTTTCTTGGGCCAGTGCTCAGCAACTGTGGTGAGTGTACAAAGCAAGTGAATGGTGTACTAAGCACCTTGTATAGTAATACTCACTTGTGACACCAAGACACTTTGAGGTCCTCAGGGTAATACTTGACAAAAGTATAGATTTTGATTCCTTCAGCAGTGCTTTGCAGTTTAAGTTCGGATGCAGATTCAGCTAAAGTAAAACACAAAAAGATCCGCGATTAGATTTAATTTCACCAGTGCTGAAAACGATAGCTCTGAAAGCGCCACCTCTGACGGCCAACTTACCGGCGATTTTGCAGATCGCGTGAATTATCTGGTCATAAACTGTGAAACAAAAGGAAAGAGCAAATGTCAGCATCGTCCCGGGTCACGGACTCATTTGTACAAATTGTCTAAGTGGTGCTCCTGAGCCCACGCGGCCCCACCTGAGTCCGTGAGAATGAGCGTGGTTTTATCTTTGCCACGGTCGTCCCAGATGACCACCTTGTAGATGCCGGCATCCTTCTTAGCCATCTGCGTAACACGCGACGGAGCAGGCACAGCGAGCGAGCTACAGCAATGTGTACGTTAGCCAGCAGAGCTGCTGCTAGCCCACGATTTAAGTAAACCATCACTCCACCGATTATGGGTGGCATTACTTCAAGATTTACCTTCGTAAGCCCTGTAAGCACTGACATCGGTTTACCGAGACATATTTCCTCTGGTGGCCACCTGGCTGTGCAGAGATGTCGCCTTTCGTGCCTGGTTTATCACCCCCCTCCCACAGTGACAAGAGAAGGCAGGATTTCACCACACCATCCATATTCGAGTTGGGATATCTGGTTATTTAGATGTCTCGACTGATTATCAGTTCGATTACTCGATTGATAGGACAACGTGAAGACAACTGCTTGTGTTGCGATTGAAACGTCGTGATATTTTTTAAATTATTTTTCTATTTACGTGGCTTTACCG